CACCGTCAGGGCGGAGGCGGGAGCTGCCGCAGGGGGGGTGCTCGGGGAGGCGGGGCAGGGGTGAGCTGGGGCGGGGAGTTCCCCTGCGTGCTGCCCCCCCCTTGCTGCAGGCGGCCCTCCCCGCATTCCACTGCCCCAGCTCCCTCTGCCTAAATGCCGGCGGCGACCTGGGCGGCCGAAGATCCGGCCGCCGCGGTCGCTGCCGAAGAAAATGGCACCCCCCTAATCCTAGCACCCTAGGCAAGAGCCTAGGTCACCTAAATGGTTGCACCGGCCCTGATAATGGGACATCAGAAGTCCCCCCTCCCCCAAAGAAAAGGCTCATCAATTGCATGCTCTTCTGAAGGTTTGGGGGCTATGCTCAGAGACTCAGAGGGAAGAGAAAAGATGATAACTAGTGCAATAAACATGAACAAAGCAGGATGCTCTAATATTACTGCCATTTGATGGCTATCCTACATGTAAATTAATGTCATCTACACTTGTAACACCGAGAGCCCATTTCTCCACTGCCTTCACTCTGTGTAGTCATTCACACATGCAGGAAAAAGGTGTGAAATTTTACCCATCAGATTCTCTATTCACTAACACTGGTGGTAGTATTTCACACCTGCTTTACACAGCGGTAAATGATTACACCGGGTGCAAGGTGGTGGGGAATCAGGAACTGTAAGCAGCGTGCACAGTAATTATGGTTTATGAATCACATATGGGTGATAAAATATGACATGAGCCTCAGTGACTCTGGCACAAATACCCTGGGTAAGTTAAAATCCTTACTAGGCAATAATAGCATGATCCTCCAGCAGAGAAATTACCCTCTGCACCAGCTAGACAGGAACCTCACGATGCTCTACCATTACCATGGACGGACACACAAGAATGGGAAAGCAATCATCCCCAGATCACCTAGGAGCCTGACAATCTAGGTGGAGGACTCATCAGGAAGATAATGTGGCTCCTGTCAGAGAAGGAAAGAGTGTGCAGCCAGCAAGCCTGGGTGTTTGCTAAGAAGGGAACAATGGGCGCCCCCTTCCAGCAATGGGACAGCCAGCCCAGTTGTCCTCCCACTAGGAAGTTCCAGGATCCCATTCCCCACCCCCATCGGGGAGTGCAGAACATGAGTGCACGGTTTGGCTCTAGAACAGACATTTTGGGTGGGTGCAGAAAAAGGGCAGAGCGCGAAAGGGGAAGCAACTTCAAAGCTGTACAGAAACGGGAGGCCTATTTTGAGGTTGTACTTAGGAGGGCTATCCTATCTTGTCACACCA